TTTAAAATCTGATTAAAACTGACCAAAAGATTCAGAAGCAATCTCATAGACTTAAGCAACAATAATTTTTCTACCTATCAGAAGCAAACCTACAATTTCAGAACGGGCAAGGGGAAAACAAACAAACAAAAACACTCAATTAACCCACCCAATAAGAGTTGGGAAGGGGAGGGACAAGCCAGTTGAATAGCACTCAAGAAGTACTTTTGGCATTCCTAGAATTATGTGAGTGCTGTCCTTGCCTCAAAGAGACACCTCAGAGATTACACAGGGGAGAGGTGGATGGAGTGCACAAAGAATGAGAACAGAAAACAAGACCACAATACCTTTTTTTTAATATTATTTGCTGGATCAAAATGTAATCTACCTACCAACATGCCTCTGACAGAAATTGTGACAAAGATATGAGATTGTTGAATCTCATGTTTCTATGCAACACTGGTGGATAGCTTCTATGCAACACTGGTGGATGGTGCAACAATGGTGGAATCATTCATGACCTCAGAGGTGAGATGGCAACATGCACAGACTTCATTATTCACTAACAGACTTCAAGCAGATTTATTTTAATCAACATTCAAGTATACTTTGCTTGCTTTCATCCTGTAATTGCTAATTCTGTATCCTTAGTGAAATACTGAACAACTTTTGCTAAGCTGAAATAGCCCCTGAATATAGTAAGTTCATTTTCCTCTTGAAATACAGACAAACCAAAAAAGAGTATCTTAAAGGAGTTACAATCTGTAGAACTAGAAGCAACACCTTATGACATTTCACACACCACATCAGATCCAAATCTGTTGTAACTAACATCGAATTAGGACAGTTCTATAGATAGCAACTTTGCTGATATTCTGCTCTCTACTTGCTTTTGATATAAATCCATCTTTGCACATTTCCACATACTTCTCAAATAAATCAGCCTGCATATTTTAATTAATAATAGAAAGAGGATCCTGGACCTCAGAACACATGTCATACCCTAGGCAACGTCAGCAGTAACAGCAGAGCATCCAAAAACTTCCAGAAGGGGGAAAAGGGGTGCATAGGAGATGAAAATTAAGATCTCCAAAGAAAGAAAAAGAAAATACCCATACATTTAAAATGTGCTTACTGACTACAGTTTATTTAGGCTCTCTGTGGGTTGTAGGTTTATGATTATTACAGGTGTCTATGGACTGAAGGCTGTGGCAAGCAGCTGCAGTCAGGACTGATGTGTGTTAAAAAAGGCATGTAGAAAAACCTGTTCCTTGCCTGCCTGCAGCCTCCACTCAAGCCAGAGAAATCACTTGCAGGCACAGATTAACTTCACAAAGGAATCTGAGTTACACTCTCTCTCAGTTGCCTAGAAGATTAATAACACATTAACATCTCAGGCAGTTAGCAGGAAACATTCACTTCGATCTGATGAAGTTGGGCATACTGCAGAACAAGAAGAAATAGAACACAGAAGCAGCTCACCTTTAGGACTTCCTCAGAGACATCTTTTTGTAGCTCTTCTAAGAACAACAAAAATTCTGTTTCTTTCCGAAGAGCAACTGGAACAGTTTTCTGAAACCATATAAGAATGGGAAATATATTCGTCAATAAAACTTCTATTTACATTAGCATATAAACATAATCATAACTATTTAATTAACACTTTGAGGCAGACTGAAATATCTCTCTGAAGGAATCTAGTCCTCAATTAAAGGCTATTCCAGTCAGGTTCTGCTCTCACACCAGTTGATTTTATTTATCCACACATTTGGGAACAGATCTCATCAAGAATCACAAAACCATCATATCCTCAGAATGGAAAGAAAAAATGCAAGTCCAAGTAGTGCCAAGGACAAATTACATTTTAAAAAAAGTATGCACATCCCTCTCCATCTAAAGCTTATAAAGAATTGTCTGATGCCCGAGCTATTTAATCTTTACTGTAAGAGAGGTGCTGCACAAATGCAGAAGTTGATGCACTCCTGATTTTCATTTACATGAATGTGAAAAGCTAAAATGTTAACTTTGAATATCTTTTAAAAAAACTGCTAGTTTTTCTTCAGTGTGAATATTACAGTTCTTTCTTGATAAATTTGTTAAATGCAAAAGCAGTGCATGTCTCCAGATACCTTAAGAACTTAATTCCATGAAACATGGGAAAGCCTACGTTTAAATAAGCAACTAGGGAGACATTCTGGACTTGGAAGTCAGCTATAAAGTGCATTTGGAATCATGAAGATGTTTCTGTACCTGATTCATGGCAAGCCATTTTTCCAGCACAAGAAGCCAAAGCCATGCAGCTCTTGATGGGCTAGAATTCTGTCCCCATCTACAAAAGCAAGGGGCATATACAGGGGATTATACAAGGTTGTCTCCATATCCAAGATCCACGGAAACACCGTCAGAGAACATTTTGATTTTGTATTTCTTTGAGTGAGATAAAAACAAAGACAAGTAAGTAGCCAAAGAAAAAGGAAAACAATGCAGAGAAACCAGAATGTTGGTGTTCTTGCACATCAACTCAGTGACTTCTGCTGTGCAAAACCTGCTTTTAGATACACCAAATACTACTAGCATAGTTCCTCAAAACAAAGAATCTAGATCTGGTCCAAAGTTCAGTCTGCACTGCTCTCTTTGAGCACTTCAGCAGATTTCGTTGAAATGTGACCACTTGCCAAACTCTGCTATTTCCTGTTCTATTTCTACCAAAAAAATGAAGCGAAATTTTAGGCCACAGCACCCAAATGCAGCTCTATATTCAAATTAAAAATGAAGCAATTAAACTAATTAAACAAAGAGTCCTTCTAATTTCCATCAGCATTTCACATCCTGCAGTACTTCAGCATTCCAAAGCCTACACAGTTGGGAACACATTCAGTACTGTCAAAGGGACCAGGAAAAGGAGAAAGCACAATATTGTTTCCTGTCATTTAAAAATCTCAGCACTACTAACTAAAGCCTTCAAATGTGATAACCCAGCTATTAAAGATCAAAAGACTGAAAATTCCTATGTCTCAGTGGTTGTTGGCCACAATATTCATCTAACCACGAGCACACCTTCCTCCAGACTCCTTCAGCTGCTGTCAGTGTAAATTGTCTCTTAGAGCCCTTACTGAAATGTTATGCAAACTTTAATGTGAAGAAATATGATCATCTGATCAGACAGGGGGATTACCAATGTTCCCTGAATAGCTAAAAAGTCACCCTTCACATACACCTAACTGAAAAAATAAAAAGTAAGAGATAAAAAGTAACTGGGATTGAGTAAAATGGATGCCATTCCAAAATACAGTGTGAGAGAAACAAGAAATCAACAGCATAATTGGGAATTGCATAATTGGGAATTCTGGGAATTGCAGTTTAAGAAATTAGGAGATTTTTCATGAGTTGGAAACAAGATAACATTTTAAATAACTTCACCACTGATCTTGGTGGTTCCATTTCTAAACTAACCGAAGCTCAGCGTCAAAGAAACGTAATTTCAAGAGATAGTCCCTTTCCCTCGGTAAAATCTAACAAAATCAGTTCTGAAATGCTCCCAAGTAGTTTTAAGCTTGAATCAATCACCATATCAGCTAGGTAAATGAACACAACTCGTTATCCCGGTGGGATGGGCAGCCTGCTAAGTTCTTGGTCAGTGATAAGACATCCAAGTTCAGACAACAGCATCACAAGACACCTCAGCACTAAAGTGCTACTCCCCTGATTCTACCTGTCTCCGACAGCCAACACCAAGCCAACTGCTCCTCCCCATTTCACATTCAAGTCCACGGAACCAGAGCAGTACCTCACCTACCTTACCGCCACGGGACAAGCTACCAGAGCCTGAAGAATCGCCTCCACCTTCGCGGGGCCGTCCCCGTGCCACCGGCTCAGCTGGGGCACGCAGGCCTGGGCAAGCTCCCAGTGCCCGCGCCGTACGCACTCACAGAAAAACCCGAAAAGACGCTGCAGAGAATCCGCCTCTTCGTTCCCAAAAGAATGCATTTTCCCGGGACGACGGGATGACCCGGGCCGGGGTGACACACACTAGGG